TTTGTTATTCTGAACTTTCATTAATCATGAAACCTATGTCTAGTACAAATATTAAATTTTGAAATCAACATAGATGAATTCAAAAATATAACTTGTAGTTTAAGTACTGCATGCACAATCTGGAATTTTAAGTTACAGTAGTGTTTTCATTTTATGTTGAATGTGTTTGTGTGTGCATGTGCGTGGATATATCTTTATATATATATGCATGATGACTTGCAAGTTGAATGGTTGTGTAAAATAGTAAACTTTCAATTCCAAAAGATGCCCTTTCATTTCAAATATCAAATTTTTACAAGAGAATAATTCAGAATATTAATCTTTTGTTTCCCATGGAGATTTAACCAAAAAAACGAAATATAAAATTTTAGAAAAAATAACTGATAACATATATATATATATATATATATATATTGCCTTGAATACCACAAAAAAAATTGGTAACATCCTTTTATCTAAATTCCAATCCTACACATTGGAACAAGTCAAAGGCTGCCAACCACTAATTGGATGATCAATGATCAATTATAAACACAAAAATTGCTGCTCCAATCATTTTAGTTGAAAGTAGTTACTTTCTTTCAAAATTAATGGCAATATCTAGAAGTCACTTACACAGCTTACAACAAAATGGTGGAAACCTGTTTCAACAAGTGAATAAAGTAGGAAAATAACATAAAAATCATAATGAACAATGGCAATATTGTCTCAAGTTTTGCGAGTTTTTGAAATAGGAATGTGACAAAACATTCCAAGCAAATGTAAGTGTTAGTTCTGAATACAATCAGATGTTGGATGGAATAGAAAAACAACCACCTGGTTGTATTATCCCTGCCCTTCCTTTCACATAAAATGTGCTGTGTTCTACACATTGCTTTCTCCTATTTCTTTTCATTTCTATTTCCCCGTTTGTTCTCATTGTTGCCATTTTATTTACTTATTAATTTATTAATACATTACTGTTGTTCTATCAGGTTCTCAAAATGTCTCATTGTAGGAGGCTAGAACCTCAATTATGGGGTCCACAATGGACCCAAAATTGCACTTAATATGAGTGACCTTCCACCTTGCTACTTCTCCAATGGCGCCTCCATTTGGACAAATCAAAGTTGGGCTCTTTCCCTTCCCATGATGGAAAATTTTCTGTCATCTATAAACCCAAAAAAACAAATTTCCACAAACGCTTGTGACAAAATGTTTTGGAAATGGGGTTTCGTAATCTGTCTAACCTATCATCCTTTGTACAGCATTTCCAAAAAAGAGGTTGGTGGAAACATCCTCCTGGCATGATGTTTGCCATGGCTTTTGCATTGGTGTCTGTGTTTACACCTCACAAAAGGGTAGGCCCAGGCTGGGCTGGCCCAGCCCAGCCCAGCCAAGCCCTCTCCTGAGAAAAAGACCTAAGTATATAGGCTTCCTTGAGGTAGGACAAAGCATGCAAATGCCTTATCAAGTACTGTTCCTCACAATGGTGCCAAAATAACAAAATTTCGAGCCCTTTGTCAACTTGGCACCTTCAGCACCATAGCCATGGGCTTTGGTGGATCAGCCTACCCCTCTTTTTGCAAATCTTTTCCAAGTCCATCTCCATCTCCATCTCCAGCTACCAGCTCATTTGCCACCCAGCTGCAATATTGACAGAGCCAAATGGTTGAGCTCTACAGACACTGAACTGAAGACAGATGTTTTATGAATTTTGTTACTTAGTGTTAGCAATGATCTTGTGTTGTGTCAGTATAATTGGTGTGAATGTCAAGGTGTTAGTGTTGGGATTTCAATTGGGTTTAGTTGGGTTGTTTGTTATTACAGAATTAGGTTTTGGTTTAATGCACTCTGACAGTTCTTGTTGCACAAGGAATTTATTTTCATGCGCTAGATTTGCTAATCACTACAATTTTTTTTGGAATTTGAGAGTTGTTTGTTGTTGCTCTTTGAACCCTTTTTCTCACCAAGGGGTGGAACAAAGCTAGGAAGATAAGATCAAACAAACAGAAACTTCACTAACAACAACTACTACCATAACAATAACAATAACAATAATGTTATCTTATTTATTATTTAAGGTATTTTAAAATTTTTGATACTGATGTTAAGATATTATCCTCTTTTTTCTTTCTTTTCTTTCTCTTCTCTCTTTCTTACCCCCCATTCTTCTTCTTTTTTCCTTTCTACATATTAATTCTTGAAATTTTGGGATGCTGGGTTTTTGAAGTGTTAGGATGATGTGGAGTGGTCTACTGCACCATATTTTGAACCAATGAAAAAATGTAACCTAATAAAATATATGTTTAAGCACTGTAAACATATAGACAAGTCTCTTGTATAGACCAAAGAAAGACAAGATTTAAGAAAAAAAGAATGGAATGTTGTTTAAAGCTTTTTAAAATTTTAAAATTTTTATGTCCTTGTGCTATAAATATATCACCTATGTTGGAGATAAAGTAACAACACATTATATCATCAATGATCAACATTTCTTTTGTTGGCTTTTTTCTTCTAAATTTGCAGTTAAACTCTTACATATTGCAGGAGATTCTCTCAAAATTGCAAATGAATGGAACAAACTGAATAAGTGTGTGTGTGTGTGTGTGTTTGTTTGCTTTCATCTTATTTCAATAATCTCTTAATTGAAATAGTGAGGCTATGTGGAGCCCAATCTTTTTAAATGCCTGAAATGTATTGCAGACAAAGCTACTTTCTGCAACAAAACCCAAAAAATAAAATATTTGCATTTACTATTGTAGAAGTTGGAGTGTGTTCCCATTCAACCACCACATATTACCATAGTATGCTTCCAATGGTCCAAAATCAACTTAGTTAATTGCAGTATCATAACAAATCACCTTCCTCAAACACATTGTGGACATTAGCTGGACATTAGAATGTGCCATTTGGAAGGCAGCGCATTTTGTGTTGTTTGTGCTTGAATGTGTTGATATGTACATACATACATACATCTTATATCCCAAATCCCCAAACTAGTGTATCTTTAATAAAAAATAAATATAAAATATAAAATATAAATCCCACTTTTGGAGTACAAACTATTTAAAAGCTTATAGTTAATAAAGAGGGAGATCTATTTATTTCTACCAACAAATGATTTTACCATGATAATAATTTGAAAATGTTTTACTTCACTAAAATAATCATTGTGATCACAACATATAAAATTTAATTAAAATAGAGAGTAACTAAAATAAACACTCATACATATAAAAGAAATAATCAAGTTAAATATACATGAATGGGTAGAAACTCAAGTGGGCACAACTGTAGCTCTACACACCTTTGTGCAATGAAGCACTTTCCCAACAATTTCAAACAAGTTATGAAATCATGTCATGGAATAGATAACCATTCCAAATTACCTCACAGCCACACTACCTGTTGCTATATACACACACACACACACGATTGTACAAGTTTGAAAAAGTTGCTTTACTTTTTGAAGCTAGAGGTCGGTTTTTCTCAACAGCTGGTGGCAACTCTACAGGCTGCCTGAAAGCCACGAGGGGAAAAGTAAAAGTTAAAAGATAAAAGTAAGAAGTGGGGAAGAGCCTGAATGAGAGAAGGTCTCATATCTGGGTGTGAACTCCATCTAGTCTAGTCTATAGCACCCAGATGCCAATCCACCCAACGGGATTGGGCGTGCGTTTCTTCCTTCCAGCAGAGAGGGAGAGAGAGACCCTTCGGCTCGGGATCAGGGAAGCTCAAATTAGTTAAGCGGAGTGGGGGCGTGATGAAGGGCGGCATCTTATCCCCCAACCAGGGATTGATTGACTGGAAGGGAAGGGAATGCAATTAATTATGACCTGGCTCATGGGCCAAATCCGGGGGGAGTGGGGGTGGGGGTGGAAGTACCAGAAAAAGCCCATCAGTAATAATAGGAAGGTTCAGCGGCTGCAGCGGAGGAGAGGGAGGGAGGAGGACGAGGAGGTGGAGGAGATTAGTGGTATTTATGAGGGAGAATGTCAAATGGGGAAGGAAGGACTGAGAGTTTATTTGAATGAAGTGAGACGACGGGGAATGTTTTGAATAATCATAGGGAATAATATGACGTTGGTATAATTAATAGCGGGAGAGAGAGCGAGAGAGAGAAAGAGAGGTCTTGAGCAAAAACCGATAGGAGACCAGGAGCGGAACGGAACGGAGCCACGACTTGCGGCGCTGCTGAAATTCCCCCTCTCTCGTTTTGATTCTTGGAATATCTGTTGTGGCAGAAGTAGTGCATTCTCGTCTTCTTCTGCGTCCTTTTTTTTTTTTTTTTTTTTTTCTTTCGTTGCTGTTGTTGTTGCTAATGATGTTTTTATTTATTTATTTATTTATTTATTTATTTATTTATTTATTTATTCACTGTCATTATTGTTTCCTCCCCTATCTTTAAGAAGCTAATAAGCCATCTGAGAATTACAAATGTTGAACAGCGAGGGATTTTACTTTCGTTTCGTTTCGTTTCGTTTCGTCTTGTTTCGTTTCGTTATTTATTTGTTGAACTGAATTTTTAGAATATAATATTTGCTGCAATAACTGAGTGAAATTTTATTTGACCTTCGAGAGGTTCTCATAGTTAACTTAACTTAACTTTTTTAATTTAATCTGATTATTTTCATTTCTTAATCGTGTATATCCAATGATGACCTATTACACTCGAAAAGTGAGAACGCATTGAATGTTTGAAAACGGGATGGAGGTGTAAGTGTGAAGGTTTGGTGAAGTTTGTGGCAGTGCGAATGGTACAAGTTTGAATAAGGGAGGCCCATACTCCCCTTGTACACGGTGACCCTGAGTTTAAGGGGGAGTTCGCTGGGCAATGCCGATGTCGAATGTGAAGCCTAGAAACGCTTCCTAGCCCATGACGACAACCAAGGGAACAGCGCGATTCACCGGCACTCACCGGCTGCTGCCAGCACAAGGCAAATCAGCCCGCCTGACTTTACAACCGGCTGCTTCCCAGTCAGGTTGTAGAAGAAAAGAAATTCTTCTTCTTTCGAGCTCTTCTTCCTTCACTTGCGTGCAGAGGTGTATATGTAAGCAGGAAGCGGAATCGGCTTTTTTCAGCCCCGTTCTCGCTCACGGCATCGTTTGGCCTGCCCCTGCTCTGTCCTTCGCTGATATTCCTGGGACCGTCTTCTGACCCGTGACACCAGCTTCCTTCATCACAGCTTATCTTGCTGTTTGGTGTTTACTCCTGCCTCCTCCTGAGTCCGGCCTGCTGCCTTGCTTACCTTGCCGTCTGGCGGGATACTGGCAACTCCATCCCTCCTCTCGCTGTACGATTCTTGATGCGATCCTTCGTCGATATTGGGGTGTGGTTGGGGTGAGAAGGAGATCCGGAGCTGATTTTCAGCATGTGGTGTCGAACCTGGTCTCCGGATGGTCAATGTGATTCTGCGGTCCGGGGTCGATGTAGAGCGTCAGACTGGCTCGAGTGCAAAGCACATGCGATGGATGCTAGCATTTACGCTTCCTTGTAATTTTTTTAGCGTCAAGGTGGACGGTAATGTGCCGAAGCCGTAACGGAAAAACACCTCCAATCTAGAAATTATGGAATAAGTCGTGCCTTCTCCACTTCTTGCAGTTCTCGGCTTTCCTCGCCAGGCCCAGGCAGCTTGGAGTGGTTCGTGAACCCCTGGCCGAGAATCTCAAATAAACACCAAGTAGTGTGTTCTTGCCGAACGCGTGGTTGCTGTCAGTCATTTGGTGAACATTTCTCTTTGCTTCACTCTGAAGTCTCATGAATTGCAGTTTAGTAGAAAGAGACAAGCAGCTTGTTCACTTTCCTCAGGCTTTTGACAACGGTGACCGAGTGTGCTTGCGGTTCTAACTTTCACTAGCGCCGGTAGCTGCTGAGCATCAAAGGATTATCAGCTAGCCCAGCGCCGTCGATACCTGCTTCATTCTTTATCGCTTCTCCTTTTCTGCCGTCACAACTGAACGATTATTGCGAGTAGAATTTGACTACAGTTTTTCCTTCTATGCAACTTGCCTTCCCATGTTATTTGGCTAATTCTTGGGCTATTTCTCTTGCGATCTTGTCTGTAGTGCAGGTATTATTGCGACGAGTTCAGTATTCTTGTGACGGTTTCCATGTTACCTCATGTGATCTGCTTGGTCATCTCATCGTGGCTAGCTTCTCCACAATTTCTCACCCTCGTTGGGATCAGAAGAGAGAGAGCACAGCCCGATGTCCAATGTTCAGGTCGAATGGGCTGTGCTCTCTCTCTTCTTGCTCCAACTTGGGTGCTACACGCATCTAGGGTACCCGAAATACTGCTGGTTCAATTCAAGCCTTGGGCGGCGAGGCAAGGAACTCTATTGTCACAATATGGTATAACACTCCGGCTTAGAACATCAATTCAGCCGTACTACACCCAAGCCGGGATTCGAAGAGAGAGAGCACAGCCCGTAACTTTCACTAAAGACCACTTATTGTGGTTCATTGGAGATTTGATGTCGGGCTGTGCTCTCTCTTTTCCAGTCCCTACTCGGATGTGTCGCCATCACGGATGATGAAATATGGCAACAGATGACTATTTTCTGAGTCATATTTCAACTTAGCATTGAAGATCGACGACCGGCTAGTTCCTCCTGAGACAAGTAACTTCGGGAGACTCTATGTCGCAGCTGCCTCGCACATCTAAATAGTTGAAAAGACTTCGTCAGTCGTCCGCATTAGCTGCGGTTTTAGTGACTGGATAACGACAATGAGCATTCTGCCGTTTTGCGGAGCCCGTCTAACTATGCCGTCCACGTACAACACTTTTGTTTTGCTCAATACTCGTCTACCTTACACGACGAGACGCCGCCAGGTTTTTGAAGTATATTTTTGATGCTGTGCATTTCTTCTGTAGAATGGCAACACAGGTGTTCAGAGATCCTGATTTCTCTGATACACTTAAGTGCTACCCCAAGGGTCTTTTTGCGTGCAGAGACCGTGTTGTGCTCGTGAAAAGTAGATTCAACGGTACTGGTAGATGTCGCCCTCTCAACCATACACACATTATGGACGTAGGTTTCCTTTCTATGTGTTTGACTTCCAACCTACAGTGTATTTCGCGAAGCGCTCTAACCTCCCTAGAGTAGGTACTTATTCATAGACATCGAAACCAAGCTGAATGTGCGAACTGTGCTGTGCAATCGTTTGTGGTGGTGCTGACGCTCAAGCACACCAGTTGACGAACTTAAAATGCTCTTGATAGTAGTGCCTTTCTTGAGACCTAATGTCTGTTGTAATAAGCGTCTACATGCAGTTTCTCATTGTCCGACATGTGCACCCTTAGAGTGACAAATGTTGGGCTGAAAGGATAAGTACTGTCTGTGGTGTGGAGCTTCACTGATTAAGCTTGGCAAGTGCTTCTGTTGCCTCCAATGAAGTTACTACTGGTGTGTCTGGCTCAATAGGGTACAGCCTGTTGAGCCACTCTACTTTGCGTACATGGCTTGAGTCTGTTCACAGACAAGTTTGTCTAGCACTTGATACTTAAGATGACTTAATGTAAGGTAAGAACAAGAAGGTACGTCGAGATCGAAAATTGCATTTGATGCCAGTGTGATGCAACTATTAGTTTGATGTGTTGATTTTATGTGACGATACCATATGACATCGAAATATTCATGATCAGTGGGTACAACTACTTGGCTGTGGTAAAACTTGCAGGATGGATCTTATTTAGGCTAGAACCCTCCCATGCAATCCTGAGTGTTCACTGTACACATTTGTGTTTGGATTTTCCATTGTACTGTAGTACATCAGTTTTTAGGCTAAGGCTCGATGCTGACCCCTTTATCTTTTGTGGCACTCATGCAGAAAATGTTTGAACAGTCGTCAGACGACAGACTTGTTTTCTTCTCACATAGCGCTTTGGAACTTAAGTCGTGTGGTGAAAGGTGTGCACAAGGATACGTAGGTCATTAACCACGTAAATTTCTTCAGGCAGAAGCGTACGCTTACTTAGACTTAACGAGGTTTGTGTTTTCGTTTTATCTCTATGTTTCATCAAGACTTCGATGATGCTAACATCGAATATTATTCTCGATGGCATGAACGTGTTACTCAAATCGAGTCATGCTTTAGTATAGGAATTGACTGTGTCCTCTTCAAAATCGTTGTGAATTTGGAGCCAGGACTCCCCAAGTAATGAACATGTTGCAGGCAGTGGCTTCTTGCCTGTAATGTGGAGTGGAGGCCGCACATCTCTTCATCAGAATGGGCTAGGAGCACCCTCAATTTTACTGCAATATGGTTGGTTTTGCTTGGCAACTGACTGCAAAAGTTTTGTTTGACTGCTTTTGCTGGATCTTCTATCATCATTTGATGCTTGTTGATTAAGTACTCTGATTTAGCTGCTACATTTATTGCCTTCAGAGGGCTACACGGAATTGCTATGTTATCATATGCTAGTTGTATCTTTACTTAATGAGTGCCCCAAGTTGTTTGCAGGCTCAGGTTTCCAGCTGAGAATACAATGCAGCTTACAGTATACAGCAGAATTTGTGGTGTGGTACAGGAGTGTACACAGCGAGAAGTACTTATGAAAATGAAGGCTTCCCAGCAGAGTGATACTTTTTTCTCCGCCAAAGCCAGACGAATTCGTAAGTAACGGTACTATTTAACGGTATGTATTTAACGGTACTATTTAACGGTATCTTCTTTAGCAAGCTCTTAAAAAAGTTCTAAATTCTCATGAATAATCTGGACTCTTCTATTATAATCCTTGACCATGTGAAGTCCAAGTTGAGGTTAGGACTGTCGGCGATTGTCCTGATCATGCATAATTGCCATGCATGCGAATCATTGGTTGCTTCTACAGATTTGTTGAAAAAGTTGAACTATACTGAAGGTACCTTGAGTCCAATATCCACATTAGACAATGTCTATAGCCCGTAAATCTGTGAACATGTGGCCTTTATTTAGTATGATATTCTGGAGGCCGTCGAAATTGTTACTGCAACTTAGTTCTTTTCCTAGTATGATGTGCTTGGTTGTAATTTATCAGGAATGCGATTTCGCTATTGGGTAGCGTCCGTGGCGAAATAGTTCTGAATGAGCATGCAAATTGAGCCTGTTCAAAGCAGTCAAGATAAACGAAAGATGCTGGGCAGAAGTATATTGTCCAACCAACTTATCAGTTTCACTAGAAGACAGCTCAGTGTGAATTGTGTTCTCGAAACGTAAGGTCTTGAGAATTTGATAAGATATATATTTCCCACACTGTCCAGCATACAATCATATTATTAAAGAATAGCTAGTAGTAGTAGCAGTACCACGACATGAACTTGAAGATGACTTTTTAAAGAGTTTTATCCTTTTTGTGGCAGATAATAATCTTTGTGACGTTTCTTGGTGGAGCTTGTCTCTTCTTAAATTGAGGCAACTATAATAATCTTGGACAATAAGCCATTGTCTTTCCGTATTATCCTGTTCCGGTTATTGCAATATTGTCCAGCATCACACCTTATTCTCTTGGCGTGTCGAAGGTTATTGGTTGACATTCTCGTTGATCGGGTTTGTAGGGCTTCCGTGTGAAGAAACCCTCTGACGTCCCTAGTGTCGTGTTTTAATTCCCATATGCTACATGCACTCATCATTTAACAATTTTAAATTTCGACTTTGAACTTGATTCTTGCAGATCACCAAGGTATTTGATTGGGTGTTTGCAACTGCTTGGACGATTACCCCAGATGTACGAGCTGTTATATTGAGTATCCAGAACAATGCAGTATACAACTTTGGTAGGTTTGAGATCGCACGGAGTGTAGTGAATATAAAGGTTAATTTTGCTTTATGAATGAGTTCTCAGTATAGAAATAGCTGTACCGTGATCGTAGCTCCGACGTTTGAGCCTTGTTTACCTCATTAACGAGCGAATGATTTACTCAGGCAATCCACTCGCCTCAAGAGACAGTGCAATAGACGCACCGTTTTTTTTATACAGACGAGAATTATCATCTGGCTCTGCTCCTCATTGCATGGAATTCTTGCATGAGTGATTGTGTGATCCGCAGCGAACTTCTTTACCTCTGGAACCTAAGTTTGTCCAAGGTTCTGTACTCACTGCCTAGAGTATTTTGGGGAATAACCTTGATTTCAGAGCAATATCTGCGTATCGTCTCTTTCCTGCGATCGTAACCGCAGTTTATGCATAAATCCAGCCTCCTTTCAGCTGGATTTGACTCGATCTGGGACAAGTGCAAGTGCCACTCATTAGTCATCAATAGCATGGCCGTAGTAATAGCAAGTACTCGATATTCTTCGTATTGACCAAACAGTGGAATTTCTCTGACGCTGTATCGCCGCGACACTGGCTTGAGCTCGACTTGTATGGGTTGTGATGGCAGAGAAATCAATGCGACGCGTTGCACGCCGAGGTGCGTGTAGACCTTAAACGATTGGACGGCCGCCGAGTAAACTTATGAATCCCTGTCAAAATCCCAACCATCTCAAGCGTTGATTCCTTCGGCTCGGATTCAGTTGCTGACTCCTCCATTTCTTTCAGTTGGAGATGATCCAGAAAAACCCATGTTCATCTATTGCGGACGTCATGTTAAATTTAAACAAGTCCTGCAGTCCTGCGAATTTTAGCGACTGTTTTGTACTCGTCATATATACCTGCTCCATAGTCTGTTGTAGCGTTAGACAACAAGTGATGGTGATGTGATACACATTAAGCTGGTAGACTGGCTCTTCATAGAATACATGTCACAACGAATATGATATGGAAGGCCCCCCTTCCATGTGTTCATCGTTGGGTGAAGAGAGCGCTACAAGACAAGATGCAAACAAGCAATGACTCAGCTCCCACTACTGATCATTGATGAGTTACAGTAGGGTATCCATCTTACCTGTAGCGGTCTTCCTCAGCAGGTTCATTTGTGGGTTTTGCACTAACTTTAGTTGCAGTTCTGGATTGGATGGTGCAAATTAAAGTGGGTTTTCACTTATCGGCATCGGTGACCTGCGAAACTTCAGCACCATCTAGATACTCTGCATGAAAGGATGCCGTTAGTGTCAGCCGTAGTGATGTAATACAGCTTTTCTGAAGTTACCTGATTCTCGTCTGCACCTCGCGCTACCTGTCAGATCAGGTACTGCATCAGAAGTTGAGCCTGAAGCTGAATGTCCAAGCTTGCTTTGGAAACAAGCAGGCATTCAGCGCTTGCACTATGTAATTGTGTAGTCAACCTGGTTAGGCCAGAAAAGAGGATAAATTGAATAAGCAAGTACACAAAGAGAATGTTATATAATGACACCTCTCCATGCTTTGAGGGCCATTCCTCAATGGTGGAGTACACCTGTGATCTGTTGCTCTGCCTCGCAGTGATATCTGCTTTCTATTTATGAAAGTTTGCCGTTTAGAATGTCATAAAATTCCTGTCTCAATTTATGTATTTTATGTTTTACACAAATAAGGTATACTTGCTGTAATGGTACAACTGTGACAGTGTCCAAAACCCTAAAACTTATTTAAGGATGGAAGCATATGCTTGTGTAGTGGGTTCCTCATCTTTTTAGATTGATTATTGCTCTCCATACACTAATCACAATTCTTTGATTTCAAATCATCCAATTTACTGTACTTTTTTCTTTTCTTTTTGACAATCAGACATATAATTATAAGTATATTTATATTTATTGACATTGTTCTATGTTTGGTTGATGCTAAAATATTATCTTAATGAAGGTGTTGAACTAATCTCTGTCTAGTTTTTTCAAAATATGACATCATGGGGGCTCTTAAGGACCACCAGTATGAAATTCAATGCAATTTTTTTGTACGATAACCAACCAAATAAAAATACTAACCTTGAACAATCAATTTTTAATTGATCATTTGAAAGCTTTGGGTCACTTTTCTACCAAATCTGTTGATATTTGTTGACTGTTTAGTGATAGATGGTGCCGATTTAACTATAAGTAATAAATTGTTTTTTCCCTTCTCAGTGTTAACACAACCATCCAAAGTCTCCATGCTTGTTGTTGTTGACAAATATTGAACTTTATTTTTTTTGGATTCTGCATGAGTTAGCCCTGTGAAAAATAAAAAATTAATTTACTCCCAAATACTTTAAAAAAAAAAAAAAAAAAAAAAAGAAGAAGAAGAAGAAGAAGAAAATGATAGTAACGTTTCATGTAAAATATGAGTTATTGATGAGCAAGTTCCATTACATCTCATCCATGTGAGAATGCCTATCTCTGATGTCATTGAGCACAAGAAAAAACTGTCAGTTGGTGTGTAAGGCTCCCATTGTCCATTGTGCTGCCCCTAGACCCCACCACCAAAGTGTAGTTTTGTGATATAGTTGATCAGGAACAACTCAAAGCATGTCATCCTAAAGTTTAGATTGCAACAATATCGTTTTTGAGATTGATGAAGGTTGCAGGCTCTGATATCTCTGCTTGTTATAAATTAGGTGTTTCCATTATACGGCAGTGCTCATGTGATGAATGCTGCAGCGAATCCCACTCTTTCTTTATAATAATAAATAAAAAGCACTTGGAATATCCAGTTCATTTCACAATATAAGATTACAATCTATATTCAATGATTAGTAATTAATTAAGAAAATTTAACGGGATGGTTAATATATATTAGTTAAGATAAGATAATAATAGCAGAACCCCATGCATTTCAGGACCTTCTTTTTGTATCAACACGTTATATTAAATCATGTTATTATTACACTCCAAAAAACTCAAAGATGCAGGATATTTCACACCAATCTCCCCTAATTTTTTTGGCATCCAATTTGATGCTTTCCTATTGGTTTAACTTCAAACAACCAAAAATATCTAAATATTCTCTCCTATTTTTCCCCTGCTCCCGCTGAAACAGAATGATATATTTTTGGAACTTTCAAGTGGTTTGATTAGAAATTGGACCAATGAGAGAGGACACGGTTAGAATAACCCTGAAAGTAGGAAGCATTAATGGTGGCTATAATCAAGCTTATTTACTTTTTGTCAATTTGAAAGGGGTCCCAAACAAAGATAGTTATGAGTAATTATCATTTGTTACTTATTGTTTGACACATCTCGAGTATACTTGTTGCATAAATTTAAAAGAGAAGATACAGATCAGGATTGGGACTGGGCTTATGATGGAGCTCCAAGATTACCAATGAGATAGAGAGGCACTGTGATTGTAAGTGAAGACATATCTTTATTGTCCATACCAAAGTAGGAAGTGACCAACAATTGGAGACATGGATTAGGTTTAGGGTTAGGATGACACCACTACATGGCTTCCAACAACAATGCCAATGCAATCCAATTAGGCACAAGGGTGACATATACTAAGACACAAGGGATAATATACAACAACCACAAGGACAAGAATATAGTAGATGCTATTGTATTGTAATACAAAAATGTGGTGAAAGATAAAAGTATAGATTCTATTACAGAAGAACTTAATAGAATGATACAGTACCAAAACATTGTTAAAATCTAGGGAGGTAATAAAAGATTTTAGTATTAATATATATATATATATATATATATATATTTTCTCTCTCTCTCTTTATATATATATATATATATATATATTTATAAAATAGTTTTCTACTTATTTTGAATAACTATAAATAAAGTAAAAAGTAAATTAAAAAAAATAGACATCTTTAGGAGAAATTTGGATTTTTGAGATCTTAAAAAATTTTATTGATTTAATTTAAACAAAATTTTGTAAAAGCATAATAGGCTTGGATATCTATACTTTTGTATCGTCTTGGAGAGCAGCTAAATGATTCAATAAGGAATAATTGTTGCTCTAAGATCAACATCTAAGTTTGAGAAAGATAACAATCAATACTTAAGTATATTAGGAGCTTTTTTCTTATATTGGTAGGTTACATTTTATTCAAACTTTGTGTATTTATTGTTGGCTTGAAGATTAAAATATGAATAAAGGTTAGTAAATATCAAAAATTTAATTAATAAATATTAGGATTCTAAAACAACTATAAAAGTTTGATTATAATTTATTTAAGGTTTTTTTGGAGGTACATTAAGTTTTGGTTAAGATTTACTTATAAATTATTTATGATTTATTTATGATTTTATTTTTCTTATTTTTAGTATTAAATTAGGATTTATTTAGTATTTTTATAAAATTTATTATATTTTTAAAGACATATTTTTATTTTTTTATTATTTAAAAAATATTAGATTTATTAAGAATTAATTAAGATTTGATTATGATTGCTGTTTAGTTAGAATTTATTTAGGATTCTATTAGAAATGTTAAATCTTTTATTGCAATTTTAAATTTACCTTCTATAGCTAATTGCTTGGTACTTTTTCAAATAAGTTAATACAATATATGGAAATATGGAATTGAAGTTGTTCTTTGCAATGAACATTTGCATTGATTTTTTTTATTCTTCAACTTTCTTTAATTGTGCTTTCATTGTTGTATGAAACTTTACAAATAATTTATTAAATCTTTCATTATAAAATCATCAAATTTTAAGAATTATAATATCAAGTTATGGATGATAATTATAATTAGCATAAAATACTAATTATAAAATGAAAGAATGTATTATATTATTGTAGAAATATTTTACTAATGATAGAAAAAATTATCCAATTATCTTATTTCATGGATATATATCTATTATACTTGTTACTTAGGTAATATGAATGAGTAGAATTAGATAAAAATAGATTAATTTCATACTATCTTTTACAAAAGCTTCTTAGAAGCTTTTTAGATGCTCTTTGATTTTACATATGTTTGTAGTTGATTGATAGCTTAGAAACTTAATTAAAAAGCTACTCATGTGCCACCCACATGTGTTAGTAGCTTGTAGAACAAGCTAACTATGTGGCATCCATAAAACTTACCTTGTAAGTTAAGATATGTGTCATGTAAAGTTAATATGTTTTTGTAGATACTATAAAATGTTGCCATCTAGATCTTATATAGATAGTATATATAGACGCAAGAGTGAAGCCTTCTTCACTCTTGTCAACTCCTTTCTTATTTCTAGTCTAGTTTCAAGAATCTTTAGTTTCTTTGTCTTTTGATAATAGCCATTCTAGTTTCTTTT